CCCCTGAATAGACCTTACCAGGGAGGCTTAAGAGTGTGACCCCCCTGTAATTGGAGCACACCCTCCGGCCCCCCCTTTTTTTATTTTATTTTATCCTTAATATTAAAGAAAGTTAGGAAGGTTTCTTAATGTCTGAGCAGTGTAATAAACCAGATTCTGCGTGAATAACAAGGGTCTGTAGTAAAAATTTATTTATTTATTGATTTATTGATTGATTGATTGATTGTTAATAATAGCTGCTATGGGACAAACTGATCTCATGTCCTCACTTTGCTGCTGTCTTTATTCTCTCTACTCTGCATGCACGTTGCATTTGTAATTAGTTATATCAACATATGGTTTTCATTGTTTTTCTTTATAACCTTATTTGTATAGCACATTTTATGTCCATATAAACCACACCTGGACCACAGAAATTAAACCTGAACTATAGAAACTACCTTTCAAATGAGACTAACCTGTATAAATAAAGCAAATTAAAATGATAAACTACACCTGAACCATAGAAAACACACCTGGAGCAGTCATGTTGTCCTCTCTAACCTTAAATTTAAAACAGATCCACTGGAAACAAACTGATGACAGAAAAAAAAAACAACAACAACTGGATTTTCAGGCCAAGGAAACGTCACATCACATGATGCAAATTGTTTTTACTGCACTGTCACAGTTCGTTAACACTGGTGTCATTCATACAACAGAAGAATTGTGCGAAACTGCTTTAATCCAAACAGAACAGCTGATTTTATCGTCACGTTTGGCTCAGACTGAATTAAAAAGCAGCTACATGATGCTAAGTGCCGGAGCTGCAGAACTCACCAGTCCACTGCGGCTTTATTCTGTAAACTCAGAGTTCCTGTCAGCGTCCGAGCCGCCAGCTTAATGTTGACCGTGTAAGGATTCATGTTGTCGGTAAATATTCACACTACATCTATTAACCACGGGCGGTGGAAATGAGCTAGCTTCTCTTTGAATCGCTAATGTTGTGGATCAAACCCGGAAGAGTTTGGTGTTTCTAAAAAAGACGACCGTGCGAGAACAAAGTCATGCGCAGTAAAGTTCCACASTGATTTACCTTCGCCGACAAAACGAAAAGTTATTTTCAGTTAAATGTAAGTGCATGTTTAAATAAGTAAGTGCATAATAATTCACCGGTAAAATAGCTGTTTAATTGGGCTGCATTTAAAATAGTAAAATGTCTCAAAGAAGTTAATTCCTGTTGATTAACTTTTGGAGTCAATCCACTGACACTGTAACACAGTGTAAATACTATATTTGNGTTTTTTTCCAGTCTTTTGTCCCATCTCCCTCTGACTCTGTTGTCTGCAGGTTTCAGAATTAACAATGTAGTGAAAAATTTTGAGGGACCCCAAGAGACCTCTCGCGGACCCCAGTTTGAGAACCTCTGCCCTAAAGCATTCATTTTGTTTTCAATAATCAACACAAAATTCAGCTGACTTGACCAAAAAAAATAAAAAAAATAAAGCTTTAATTTTGCAGCTATTCAGTTAAAARTTAATTCAAGCATGTAATGAGGAAACATTTTGTTTATTGTGCAAATAAAAACCTGCGTTTTGTCTGACGAACAAAACCCATTAAAAAATAATCAAGATAACAAGTCGGAGAGGAAACAGAGAAATAATTAAAGTCAAGTGAGAGCTGCAGTTTTAATTGTTCACAACTCACCTTGACCACGTTGGTTTTGTGCCTCTCCAGCACCTGGATGGTCTGAGCCGTCTTCGGGTCGATGATGAGGATGCTGGAGTGACATCCCTGAGCGATGAGACCCTGCCAGCCCCTGCAGGACAATGTAGACTCACACATAAATGCTGCACAGCTGTAATATGAGCCCCACACATATGCAAAGTATTGTTCTGGATGGGGGTCTGGTGTGTGTGTGTGTGTGTGTATGGGGGGKGGGGCATGGATAGTCCTTTGTCAGACCTAAACAATAACAAAAACTGAAGCTCTTATGTTGAATAGTTTTTGAATTATAAGTTATTTTTTTGTCCAGACACCCCCTTTTTAGATGGAGCCCCCTCCTCAAATATGGGGTCTATCTTAAAACCGTTGGCTGCAGCAGTGCAGGTCTGACATATTCCTACCAAATTTCATGTTGATCAGTGCAGCCGGTTCTGTGATAGGGTTGACCAAAAATCTTTTTAAAAAAATTTAAAAATTTACAGTAAGAAAACAATGGGCCTCGTAAGAACCGTTCGTACACAGATTTGTTCTTAAGTTGTGCGTACGAGTGATTTAGGAGAATTTGTGACATTCACCAATGTTTTCATATTCTAAGACTTTTTTCAGATACGAACAAAATTCAGGAGTGGTCCAGACCTGTCGTATATTTTACCAGCAGTCAGTCTGCTGTTATCCAGACGGGTTTTCTTCACT